GTTATCTCTGTCCATTTGTTAAATTCCTCTTTGTCTTTCAACACAATTTTATGAGAAAAGTCTTAAACAGCTTTTGTCAGACATGTTCTCACACATATTTTTTAGATTATTTTTTGTTTGTTGCTATTATTTACAAACTCAGTTTTAATATACAGAGCTCATTATCCCAGCAATACTGCTGAACTCATTAAGTTCTTTCAAGCTTAGCCAGTAGGTAATTGAAAGAGCCTACAAACAGCTCTGGAGTGAAGAAAACTATTAGTCCTACTTTCGACTCTTTCAACTTTCTCAGCATCAGTAGGGATGAAGAATTATTCTTTCTCAACTCATAGCTACCTTCATATCATAGTAGTTAATGAGATTATAGGAAAAGTACAATGTCTTACACAAAGTATCTTCCTTCTGTACTCTTTCTCACACCCCAATCCATAATCAATATAAGGCTTACTAAAATACAAAATGAAGTAAATTTTCCTTAGCAGGCCATCATTCCTTCCATATTTTCATCTCATCAGTGTAACAGGAAGAAAAATTTTCCTACCTGTATCTCACCTGTTCAACTAGTAAAGTAACGAAATTTAGAATGTAATGCCTATTCTTAAAATGATAAAAGAAACTAAGCTTTGTTGAGTAGTCCACTTATGTCAGTTATTATGCTAGTTGCATATATTATCTCATTTAACACTTCAAATGGGGGCATTTTCCTCGTTTCATAGGTAAAAAATCTAAGGTTCAAAGAGATTAAAGATTTGCCCAAGTTTAAATACCTACAAACTAGCAAAACTAGTATTTTATAACACCAGTGTATCAGGATCCAAAAGCATGTTATTCACATTTACACACTGTCTCTAAGCAATGACCAAAGAAAATTAATCACCCAAATTCCAGTTCCTCTCCTCATCTATACTAATCAGAAAAAAAGCTACAGGAATAAGGAACCAGATCAGTTACCCAGAGCTCCTAAACAGAACACTTCATTTTGTTTGTGGTTACAAAGCTACAAAAACAATCCAAAGAGAAGTAAGACTTACGGCTGTTTGAATGACTGTGTGTGGGCAGCTGTGGTCTTCAGGTGAGCAACATTAATTTCTTCTGAGAGTTCTTCTACAGTTTCAATGTCCACATGCTCCTCATCATCTTCAATGTATTCTACACAGTTATTCTGAAATACATCATTACAACAGTAAATAATGTATTGAGTGGCAAGCACACTTAAACTCTTTAACTGCATGCTCCCTTTATAAAACCAACTAATGCCAAACATATTAGTGTTATGAGTACTGATAATCTTAAGACTGTTAGTCATAACAAGGAATTAAGACAGAAAGATAACATATCATTAGAATTAACAACCAAGAACTATGTTGTAAGTCACAGATATATATATTCAACAGATATCATGGCCACCTGTGGTGGCTCACACCTATAACACAGCACTTTAGGAGGCCCAGGCGAGTGGATCATTTTGAGCTCAGGAGTGCAAGACCAGCCTGGGCAACAAGACAAAACGCCGTCTCTACCAAAAAAAAAAAATTAGCTAGACATGGTGGCGATCACCCGTAATTCCAGCTACTTGGGAGGCTGAGGTGGGAGGACTGCTTGAGCCCAGGAGTTCAAGGCTGCAGTGAGCCAAGACTGTACCACTGCACACCAGTCTGGGACACAGAGTGAGACCCTGTCTCAAAAAAATAAAATATAAAATAAATAAACAGACATCACTAAACAGAGTCTTCAAAGGACTGCACTGATGCTTCAATGTTATTTCTAGTAGACAAAATTCAGGTACGGATCTATTAAGGTTTCATAAAGCTAATGATTAAACAACAGTAAAATAAAATTTGGTGAGAGAAATATGGAAATAAGAAAAATTCAAGTTCCACTTTAAGGAGGCTTCATGACTAATATCCTATTAAATGTCCACAAATCAACACACATTAGCATACAAAGACAAGTATATAGGATATAGCCCTATATATCCTAATTAATATACAGGATATAGCCCAGTCCTGCAACTCTCTCAACCCCACAAAATGAGAGCTTGTGAGGAATTTCAGGTTTCCAAAAAGCCCACAGTTGCTGTATTTCCTTATTATACCAAAAAAGGAGTCAACCAAGTAAGCGTTTACTGAGCACCTGCCACAGAAACTTGCTAAATATTTTATGTAACAGTAGAGTTATATGGATATGTGGGATAATCAGGTCTTTTTAAGCCCACCTTTAAAATAGTGTTCACTTGTAATGTCTCTGTGCCAATAAATAAATAAATCAAAGTGTTTACTATGCCAGAAATGAAACACTGTACCAGAGAGACAAAACTCAAAATGAAGTATCCCAATCATTAATTCTATGCTTAAACTTGCTAGAAAAAAGTTACCCCAATTTATAGGCTTCATAAGGCTGTCACACTAAATACAAGCCATCATATATGTTCCCACCTCAATTAAAAAATAATTTAAACAATATATATTAAATTTAAACAATGTAAACAATGTGTACTAAAATTAACTCTAGAAGGCAAAATCAAGACTGCCAACAAAACCTAAAAAAGTAGTAATGGGCCAGGAACGGTAGCTTACACCTGTAATCCCCACAATCCGAACACCCTGGAAGACCAAGGTGGGTGAATCACTTGCGCCCAGGAGTTCAAGACCACCTGAGCCACACAATGAGATCTCATCTCTACAAAATATTAGCCAACCATGGTGGTGCATGCCTGTGGTCCCAGATATTCAGGAGGCTAAGGTGGGAGGATCACTTGAGCCCTGCAAGTGGAGGTTGCAGTGAGCAGAGATCATGTCACTGCACTCCAGCTTGGGTGACGGAGACCCCGTCTCAAA